CTCTGTCTGTGGTTCTGTCACACTCTTACCTGCTCTGCCCCTCCTTTTGTTCCAGTCTCTGCACAAAGGTCACCTCCTCACACTGGACTTCCTGAGACCCTGATCAAAAACCCTCCTCCTAGATGCAAGGCACACATGACATAGGTTCTGAAAAAGAGACTTTGATACATGTTCCATATAAATCTAGGGTGAAACCTAAGTTTTTCCGAGTTTTAAATGAAAAATCTGAAAGCACAAAGTACCAGAAGAGAAAGGAATGGGTGGGAATAGATCTCAGTGGCAGGGCACTTGCCTAGCATGGGCAAGGTGCTACTGTGTTCCATCTCCAGAGACAGACAGAGATAGAGAGACAAAGAGTGTCAGTGAGACATGGAGAGACAGAGAGACAGGAGTAAAGGAGGACGATCACTTCAGCCCAGGAGTTCAAAACCAGCCTGGCCAACATAGTGAGGCACCATCCCTTAAAAGAATGAAGTCAAAAGATAAACCGGTGAGTCATCAGGGAAATGTAACTCAAAGCCATAATGAAATCACTCCCTCTAGGATGGTGTAATCGAAATGATGGATAATAACAATAATTTTAAAAGCCTACAGGTAATAACAAGTGTTGATGAGGATGTGGGGAAAGTGGACCTCTCATTGTGGTTCTGCTGCTGCTGGTGGGAATGTAAAACAGTGCAACCCCCTTGGGAAACTGTCGGTGATTCCTCAAAAGATTAAATGTGAATTGCTGTGTCCTAGCCATTCCGTTGTGAGAGAATTGAAACTATAAGACCACAGAAAGCTTGTACACAAATATGTACAGCAACACTATTCATAATAACCAAAAAGCAGAGCAGTGCAAGTATCCATGCACAGTTCAAAGGATAGACCACATGTGATCCACACAGTGGAATATTATTCGGGCATGAAATGGAATGAAGTTTGGACACATGCTACAATATCGATGAGAACATCGCACTAAGGGAAGGAAGTCAGACATGAAACCCTACCCACTGTCCGACTGAGAAATGTCTATAATAGGCAAATCCATATAGATAGAAGGTAGATTAGTGGTTCCCAGGGGCTGACGGAGTTGGAAGTACATTAGTCACTTTCCCACTGCAGGGATAAAATACTGACACCTGCAACTTAAAAAAGGAAAGGGCTAGGTGTGGTGGCATACCCCTCTCATCTCAGCCCTCAGAAAGCTGAAGCAGGAGAGTGCCTGTGAATTCAAGGCCTGCCTGGGCTACATACCAAGTATCTGTCTCAAAAAGAAAAAGAAAAGAAAAGAAAAAGAGGTAGGCTTATGTGGCTCATGATATCAGAGGGTTCAGTTCATGATCAGCTGGCCCCAAGGCAGAAGCAGCACAATGGAAGGGTTCATGGAGGAAAGCTGCTCAACCCATGGCAGCCAGGAAGCAGAGAAAGAGAAGAGAAGCCAGGGACAAAACCACACCTTTTCAGGTCATGCCACTTGGTGACCTCCCTCTTCCAACCAGGCCCCGCCACCTAACAGCACATTCAGCTACAAGCACATCGATAGGCTAATCCACTGATGAGTATAAAAGTGCCCCACAATCCAGTCACCTTCCAAAGCCCCACCTTGTGGGGCCATTTCGGATCTAAACCACAACAGGGGGAATGGGAAATGATTGTCATTGGTAGGCAATGTCTGGATGGGTAGTGAAAGTTTTCTGAAATTGACAGCAGCTGGGCATGGTGGTACACACCTGTAATCCCAGATGTCCAGGAGGCTCAGGCAGGATAATCACAAGTTCAAGGCTAGCCTGGGGAACCTAGAGAAACCTTGTCTCAAAATAAAACAAAATCATAAAAGTGTTGTGATGATAGTTGCATGGCTTTTTCAATATATGAAACACTACTGAAATATACTGTAAGCTGAGTAGGGTGGCCCTGGTGCTCTGGAAGGTTAAAGCAAGAGGACCACAAGCTGGAGCCCAGCCTGAGCAATTTAGCAACTTAGTGAGACTCTGTCTCAAAATTTAAAAAATAAAAAATAAAAAGGGGGCTCACTGTAAAGGCCTGGGTTCAATCTCCTGTACTGAAAGTAGAAAGAAAGACTGAGGAGGGGAAGGAGGGAGGGAGAGAAGAAGGGAAGGAGCAGGTGGATGCATTTTATTGCTTGCGAATAATATCTCAATAGTGCCAGTTGTTTGTTTGTTTTAAGGACATACTGGTAAGTTTTTTGTTTGTTTGTTTTGAGGGGTTTTTTTTGTTTGTTTGTGCCGGGGATTGAACTTGGGACCTTGGGCTTGCGAGGCAGGTAGCGGAACCACTGAGCTAAATTCCCGGCCCCATACTGGTAAGTTTTTTCAGCTTGATCTATAAAAAAATTTAACAGCCTAAGAGAAAAATAGGCACAGTGAATGAGCAGTTTGCTAAAAAATGCATGAGCCTCAAATATATGAAAAGATGCTCAGCCTTGCTCATAATGAAAGACACACATTAAAACCACACTGCAATATCTAATTTTTCATTTCTAAGCCTAGGCAAAATCCAACATTTCCAGTGCTGGGCTTGGAATCCAGGGCCTTGCACATGACAGCCACACCCCACACCAGCACACTCTGGAAAATCCCCACGGAGGGTGCAAGGCTTAAATTCAGGCATCCACCTGACCTGGCTGCACGGTGCACAGACATTTGGTCCAACATTGTTTAGAGCATGTCTGTAAGGTGTAAGATTAACCTTTCAATCAGTAAAGCAAGTAAAGCTAATGTTCCTCCTACATGTTTGAGCCTCCTACAATCAGCTGAAGGTCTGAACAGAACAGACCCTCTGGCCTCTCCCCGAGTGAGACACTGCCACCCACACACACCTTGGGACTGGGACATCTGTCTTTTTCTGCCTCTGCACTGCAGCTGAAGCATCTGCCCACGCTCCTCTCTGGCCGGCTGATCTTCAAACTGCTGCAACATCTCAGGTGCAGAATGCAGACCTTGGGACTTGGCAGCCTCCACAAATTCTTAAAGAGCAGTGTCTGTTCCCCCACTCCTTGGTCCCATTTCCCCTGGTGAATACTGAGGACAACTCAGTAACAGATGCCGCTGCCAGCTGCACATGGCCCTGACACCGAGCCAGCAGTTACAACGTGCAGAATCCACCCTGTGGATGAGCTGGGGTGGAGCAGCTGACCTTTGTACAGTTATTCATTGCAGCCATGTTTACTGGGACTAAAGACTGGAAGCATTCACCTGACCTCAGGGACAAACTCATTATGGCAAAATAAAACCCTATGATGGAACACCCTCCTTTAAGCAACATACAAATAAAATCAAATGACCAGGAAGCTGTCTATTTACTAAGGGGCAAACAGCTTCAAGATAAATAAATAAATTTAAGAAGTCAAACACAAAGCAGAGGGCTATAACTTGCTTCCTTTTATATGATAAAGGTGGAAAAGATACACATTTTCAAAAGCAAATTCTGGAGAAGCGGGGTGTGGTAGCTCATGTCTGTAATCCTAACACTTGGGAGGCTGGGGCAGGAGGATCACCACGCTCTAAAGGCCAGTCTGGGACTACACGGTGAGTTCAGGGCTAGCCTGGAATACTTAGAGAGAAGAAAAAAAATAAATAAATAACATTTGAGAGGATGGACAAAAGCCTGTGTCAGATAGGGCAAAGGTACAGGTAAGACTTTGCTCCGATAATTTTGGGGTGGGGGCGGTACTGGACATTGAACCCAAGGCTTCATGTGTGCTAGACAAGCAGTGACGGTGGATTTCACTGCACAGAACGTGACAGCAGGAAACTAGAGCACTCCCCTACCCTTACTGCTCCTGCTGTGCTCGGTATCACCCCTCAGATCGAGACCTAAAACTTCAGAAGTCAAGAATAACCTGAATTTGTTAAATTGGTCACATCGGGGAGAAACAGAGCCGTAGAGGCCATGAGAAGCGACGACACCGGACTTTGTAAAACACAGCAGCGACTTAGCATTGGGGCCCTGCGCACCCTGGGGATGTGAGGCTCAGTGCGTGCGGATGATTTGGCGCTGTAAAGACTGTAGGGGCCTGGGGTGGGTCTCAGTGGTAGGGCGCTTGCAGCATGCTGGAGGCTCGGACTCCCATCTCCAGAGCTGAAAAGACAGTGCTAAAAGTGGAAAAAGAAGAATCTACCTTCTTATTTACATCCCACATGCTTTCTCTTTTGTAAATATGCACGAAAAGAGTTAAGTGTATTTTAAGAAGCACAGACCAAAAACAAAGGAAATACAGCAGAATGTTAATCAGATGAGGAGATTCTGGATCATTTTTTTAAGTTTTTTTGTTTTATGGTCCAGTGTTTCTTGTTTTTCCACAAGTCCAGCTCATTTTGTAATTTGAAAACGTAATTCAAGGGCACCTGAGGGCAGCCCGAGGCGGGCCGGGTCATCTGGGTGCGGTGCCCAAGCTGGAGAGAGACGCGACGCAGGGCACATGGCGGACTCCCTGACAGAAGCGGCGCGCTGACAAGGGATATGCGGGCTCCGCCGGCAGGGCGTGCGGGGCGCTGGGTCCTCATGCGGGTCTCGGTGTTCCAGACCAGTCCCACAGCCCCTGAGAGGATCGACGCCGCCCCAGTCCCCACCCAAGCCCGGCCGGTCCTGCCCGCGGTCTACTGCGC